AATCCAAATAAATGAAGGGTTATATGTCCTGTAGCCTGTGCTGCTCAAATATGTCATTTCAGCTTTACTTTTCACAGGGCCGATGTGACAAGTACTTAAAGGCCTCATAATTCAGGGTTATTGATGCAGGATAGTTCAATTTATTTATGGTGCTGGGTCCCAGATTTTAGCATGTACAGAAATTGCCAGGGTTGCTCATTTAAAATACATACTCCAGGGTCCCATCCCTGGGGAGTGCTGGTTGTATTTTTCACTCAGAGTAGAGTGGAGCAGAAGGTTCCCAATGGAACCAAAATAGTACCCAGAAGAGCTTCTCACCTGCTAAAGTGTTTGTACAAATGCAAGACTCTAAAAAGCAAGAACAAAGTTCTTCTAAAAGTAAGTGCCTTATTCAATTCTGGCTGTCATCACAAAATACCATGGACTGTCTTCAGTAGAAATTTGTTTTCTGGCAGTTTGGGGGTCTGGGACTATGAGGTCAGGGTACTGGCATGGTCAGGTTTTGGTGAGGACTCTTGTTGGCTTGCAGATAACTGCTTTCTCCATGTGTCCTCACGTGGAGGCCTGGGTGGAAGCTAGTTCTTTATGTCTCTCCTTACAGGGTCACTAACCCCATCACTGAAGCCTTACCTCATGACTTCATCTAAACCTCATAATCTCCCACAGGTCCATCTCAAAACACAGTCATGTCAGGGGCTAGGTGTCCAGCACTGGAACTGGGCGAAAGAGCCTGCAGCAGTTAGATGTTGCTAGTCATCCACATTAGCACTAGTGAAGGAGCCTAACATGACCTTGCAGAGCTTGTGCTTCAGTCAGTAGTGCACCAGTGCTCTCACTAGAAAGAAGTTCTTGCAGAGTGCTCAAGCAGCGCTGAAAGGGTGGACCCATTGGCTAGGGAGGAAAAGTCCTGGAAAAACAATTCTGTCAGCATGATGAGATGATCAGGGTTAATTATCTTCCTTCCTTATTCAAATGCTAGAAGTATCACACCAAGGCCATCAGACTGTGGCCGTGTACACACTGTGGCTGACTTGTCTGCAGAAGTCCAAATTAATGAAGCTTATTTCAGTTCTGTAAGAAAAGTTAAAGGATTCACCAACTGAATCCACCATGATGGTAAGTAGCATTCACTCAGCTCTTTTATTTTGAAATGATGATATAATTTGTTCTGATTGAGAGATCAGATCTCACACTTAAGTCAGTGTTAAGATCTTTTAAAGACAGAATGAAGTGGCTTATTTGGCTTATTCTGTGCTGTACTAAAATCAAACTAATATATAATATATACTATATATACTAATATATACTATGAAGGTTAACATTCTGGAAGAATAAGTATTAATAAAAACTTTAAAACACTGAGAAATCTAATGTACAACATGAGGACTCTAGGAAATAAAATTGTACTGTGAATGGGATTCATGGCAGATGAATAGATTTTAGCTGCTCTTAGCAAACAAAACAATCAGAAGGAAGCTATGAGATGTTGGGTGTGTGTATTTTTTTAACATCATGTGGTACACCTTGAATTAAAAAAAATTTAAAAATACCAGCCAGGTATGGTATGGCTCATGCCTACAATCCCAGCAGTTAGGAGGCTGGGGTAGGCAGATCACTATGGGTTTGGGACCAACCAGAGCTACAGAGTGAGTGAGACACAGTAAAAAAAAAAAAAAAAAAAAAAAAGAAATACCCAGAAAAAAATTCATGAAACAGTCACTTTCTAATATTCTCAAATCAGTCTTTTTTTGCAGGGAATTGTGAATTTTTGTAAATACTTTTTTTTAATTTATCTGTTTTTATGTGTACGAGTGTTTTGACTATATGTATAGCTAAGTGTATCTTGGTTGTGCAGCGCCTGCCAAGGCCAGAACAGCCAACTGAAGTTACAGGTGGCTGTTAGCCTCCATGTGGGTCCTGGGAACCGAATCCTGATCCTCTGCAAGAGTGGCCAGTGCTCTTAATTGCTAAGCCATCTCTCCAGCCCTAAATAGTTTCTTTGTAGGCAACTCGTTAAATTAAAAAGCTCTTTTATGTGACACCTTTGATGTGACACTTCAATAACAGTTAATTTTCCAAAGACAACCCATCTGAATGTAAATTAGAATTCTGAAATCATATTCTGGTTATATATTCTGTTATCCATAAATAATGTCAATATAGTATCAATGGCAAAAACAAAATTTTTTGTACAACATGGAAATTCACATGACCAGAGTGCCATCTTATAACTTAATCATAAAAATATTAGCCCAATGATGTTAGTGCCATTAATGACAATAAAACATACTCAATAAGACAAGATTTCTCTAAAATCCTTATCGTAGAGTTTAATTCTCTTCTGTACTCTTCAGAGAATGCTGTTTCCTGGGTTTTGTCCATTAAAAATCATGATTATCAGCCAGGCATAGAGGTGCATGCCTTTAATTCAAGCCCTCGGGAGGCAGAGGCAGAAGGATCTCTGTAAGTTCAAGGCCAACCTGGTCTAGCCAGCTGGGGCTACAGGGAAACCTTGTCTCAAAAAGACCAAATAAATAAATAAATAAAACCCACACAATCTCTCTGTTTCCCCCTACTTACCACACATCCCATTCTACACTCTACATACTGCAGAAAGTTTATAATGTAATGGTTGCCAAACATATTTATACTTAAACAATTTTGTAAATTGGCTGGGCATGGTGGCGCACACCTTTAATCCCAGCACCTGGGAGGCAGAGGCAGGCGGATCTCTGTGAGTTCGAGGCCAGCCTGGTCTACATAGTGAGTTCCAGGCCATCTGGGGCTACAGGGAGACCCTGTCTCAAAAAGACCAAAAAAAAAAAAAGATAAATATTTATAAATTTTTAACACAGCTATCCAAACTGCTTAAAACTGTTCAAAGTGAGCATGAGAGTACAAATGAAAGGCAGCCGTCACATCCCTGTGGTTCTTCAGTCCCAAGCCTGGGCCCCAAGAAAACTGAGAACACCTTGCCTTGCTTTCTCAAAGGCTTCAGGTGATCATACCAGTCAGGCAGTTCTTGAAGTGGGGGCCCCCAGAAGTATGATCTGCCCTGGGGTATATTAGCACTGGCACTTTGGGTTTCCTCACCCCTGGAAAGCCAGATCTGCCTGGGTCTCCGATGGAAAAGTTTTGCTTGTGGTTCTGCGCTCCTCTCTAGGTTTGGAGCCCACAGGCTGAGGCGAGCCCGGCATCTGCACTCCTCCCTAATTTAGCCAGGTCCCAGGGCAGCTAGTGACCACTCATGAATTTTCAAACCCTGACTCTGTGAATCTATTTTTTTTCCAAGGGTAGGAGGTATTTTTGGAACATATATGATAGAAATGAAGCATTTGCTTTTTTAGACATTCACTTTTTGATTTATTTGCTTCAAAAGTCAGTAATGTGAAAAGCTGTCCCCTTTGGTATAGCTCATACCAAAAAAAAAAAAAAATTCTTAAAGGAAGTTATTTTGAGCATTTCAATCAGAAAAAAAATTTTGAAACTAGGTAAAGGTACATACTTGTATAATATTTGTACAATATTTGAAAAGCCACTAAAATGTACCAACCATTTATATATTACAGATAATCATAGTATTAAAATTATATAACTTTCAATCATTTTTCAGAGTCATAGAATGTCTATAAAAGCTTTCTATTCACAGCTCATGAAAAAAATCTGGCAATTTCTATTCATTTATTTTTGCAGTACTGGGTATTGAAACTAGGGCTTTATGCATGTGGCACACATTTTAAACTCAGCTATATCCCTAGATCTTGTTTTAGCTTTTATTTTGAGAAAGATTACCTTAACTGCTAAGCCATCTCTCCAGTCCCTAATCTTTTTGGTTTGTGTTTTTGTTTGTTTTCAGACAAGGTCTCAACTTCTGAGTGCTAAGATTAACAGGCGTGACCACCACAATGAGCTATAACTTCTCATTTTACATTTGGGGTAAAGAAACACAAGGAAATGAATTTACCCAGCCTCACAAAAATCAGGATGTGAACTGAAATCGTTACACACATTGGTCTATGACACGACTTTTGATGTAATTGGATCTCAGTTGGTATAACTGGTGGCAGGATTTCAGGGCACGTTGGTCTGGATATACAAGCCGTACCTGGTGCTATAGTCACAAAATGGTAGCAGCAATCTTTAAACCATGTTTAAGCCATTTTCTTCTAGTTCAAAAGGCAAATACGTAATTTTGGTAATTAAGCAACCCTATTAAAAGTTATTTTCAATAAAATAAATCCAGATTGATGCTTGAATTTTATATTTAGTAAATCCTGTCTGTGTCATTGCCAATGTAAGAAATTTTGATGGGGGAAGGTTTCCTTTTGAGAAAAGGTTAAAACTAAAGCCTTGCAAGATGATACCTGGTGAAAATCAATCTCTATCTCTCTCTCTCGCTCTCTCTCTGCTCTCTCCTCTGTGTCTGTATACTTATGCATGTATGTGTTTATGTGTGTGTAATTTTATTTTGTTAAGACTAGTCAATAACTTGAGATAGTTGTTCTAATTCTTGAAAAAGAACTCAACTTCCTTTGAGTCTGCAGCCCAGGGCTTTGATGCTCAGTGCCCTCTAGACACCATTTCCAGATTTTTTTTTTTTTTTCTTTTTCTTTTTTGCGTACTGGAGATTGAATCCAGGGGCCTCACACATGCAAGGCCAAGTGCTCTACAGCTGAGCTACATGCCTAGCCCTCCAAGACTTTTAACAGCAGGAGCCAGGCCGATGGCCGTTACCGCCATTCTTATGAGAAAGGAGTAGGTGGAAATTGTTTTACCATGGTTTCATCTGAAAGCTGAATGGCCGTTTTCTATAGAGCTGGACCTGCTGTTGTAAAGAGCCACAGTCTCTTCTATGGGGCCAGGCAGCCTTGTTAGGCGATTTAGGATGGTCTTAGCAAATGACCTAGCCATGCCCTGGCTTCGGGTCTGCAGCCAGCTCTGCTGGGGGAGAAAACGCCAGGCCTCGATGTCCCACGCTGTGTTGTCGCTCCGCTGACTAGGTCCTCGGAGGACAGCCCGCCCTGGAGGCGCGCGGCGGGGATGCGCGACAAGGGCCGGCGCCACCAGGCGGTGCGCGGCCCGGCTTTCATGTTCGGTGCCCGTGGGCCCAGCCTCACAGCGGAGGAGGAGCGCTTCCTGGACGCCGCCGAGTACGGCAACATCCCGGTGGTCCGCAAGATGCTGGAGGAGTCGCACACGTTGAATGTCAACTGCGTGGACTACATGGGCCAGAACGCGCTGCAGCTGGCAGTGGGCAATGAGCATCTGGAGGTGACCGAGCTGCTGCTGAAGAAGGAGAACCTGGCGCGCATCGGCGATGCGCTGCTGCTGGCCATCAGCAAGGGCTATGTGCGCATCGTGGAGGCCATCCTTGGCCACCCCGGCTTCGCGGCCAGCCGGCGCCTGACGCTCAGCCCCTGCGAGCAGGAGCTGCAGGACGACGACTTCTATGCCTACGATGAGGACGGCACGCGTTTCTCACCCGACATCACGCCCATCATTCTGGCCGCGCACTGCCACAAGTACGAGGTGGTGCACCTGCTGCTGCTCAAGGGCGCTCGCATCGAGCGGCCGCATGACTACTTCTGCCGCTGCGGCGACTGCGCCGAGAAGCAGCGACTGGACGCCTTCAGCCACTCGCGCTCCAGAATCAACGCCTACAAGGGGCTGGCCAGCCCGGCCTACCTGTCGCTGTCCAGCGAGGACCCAGTGCTCACCGCACTGGAGCTCAGCAACGAACTGGCCAAGCTGGCCAACATAGAGAAGGAGTTCAAGGTAGGCCCCGCGCAGCGCACCCAGGTCCCCCGAGGCCCTACCTGCTGCCTCAGTCAGTTCTGCCCCAGGTCTACTATGATTTTGTTTTGTTTTGTCTGTTTTAAGACAAGCCCTCACTTTAAAACCCAGGCTGGCCCCAAATTCACAGCAATCCTCCTGCCTCAGCCTACCAGGTGCTGAGATTGCAAGCATGAGCCATTTCTCTGTATTTTAGACAGGATCGGATTTTCCTTATGTCTCAGGCCGGCCTCAAGTCACAACAGTCCTTCTGCCTTAGCAAGGGCTGGCCTCCAATTCAAAACAATCCTCCTGCCTCAGTTTCCCTAGTGCTAGGATTACAGGCATGAACCACCACACTCTGCTTCCCTCTCTTTTAAATGAGGACTCCCTGTGTACCTCAGGCTAGCCTCAAACTCACTATGTAGCCATGTCTGGCCTCTAATAATTCACAGCAATGCTCCTGCTTCAGCCTCTCAAGTGCTAGGATTATAGGCATGTGTCACCGAGTCTGGCTTCTCTGTCTTTGACAGGGCCTCACTATGTATCTCAGGCTGACCTCAAACTCTGGGCAGCCCACCGGCTTCATCCTCCCAGCTGCTGGGGTTACATGATGTACCACTACCATACCTAGCTGACCAGTGGATTTTAAATTACAAGGGCCTGCTCAGATGATTTTCTCCTCTTGGTGATGGTGCTGTGACAGATATGTGGTGATGTAACAGGCAGGATCAGAGAACTGCAATGATTCACCGTTCTCTGTTTTCTTTGTCACTTTTTGCTAAAAGGAGGGATTTGGTGAGACTGTCTCCTTTACAGATTCTTCATGCTTGATGAAGCATAAAGCACAGAAGCAGCCCTGAGTCCCAGGAGGCTGTGTGCAGTGGGGTTTCTCCTCTTTCTCTTTAAAAAAAATTTTTTTTAATATTTTATTATTTTTATTTTATATGTATGCGTGTGTAGCCTGTGTCTAGGTAAGTGCACCCATGTCATGCAGTGCCTGCGGAGGACAGAGGAGGCTGTTGGATCCCCTAATACTGGAGTTAAAGAGTGTTTCTGCAGCCCTATTCATGGGCTCAAGCCTTTTTCTCTTAGATTTAGACATATGGAACATGTGCCTCATAAGCTGTGTGCAACCCAGGACAGCTATGACTGTGAGTCAACACACTTGTGGATGACAAAGCCATATTGCAATATCAATAGATTGGATACCGTTGCCATAATCAAAATTCAAAAAACAAATATAGAATACGATCAAAGTTACTTTGTTAATATTAAAGTCACTTAATTACTGGGAAAAATGTCTCACATTGAATTTTATGAGCATACATTTAGAGTAGTGAGCCATGGGTCAACACAGAAATACAAGGACAGCAAAGTGGTGGGGTTTTAATGAGTTATGTTTTTCTGTCAGTATTATTTTATGAAAACTCTATATTTGTGTTAGGTCATTTAAAATTTTTATTCCATTGCCATGCTCTCTTATATACTTTAAATGGGTCTGGCTTTTAAAAAATATTATTT